TTCTAATGTGTATATTAAAAGTGTCCATGTTATGTGGAATTATAATAATCCATTTCCAAAATCCTTCTACAATAATACCCTTACCTATGCTAATTAGACTACATACTATACTAGAGTTATTGGCCTGGCTGGATCTATGCATGTGCATCATGTCCGTATACAGTCTATGAAAGGCTGTGGCTCCTCCCATCTGGAAGGACTCTATACTCATAGGCTACGTCTAGACTGGCATGATTTTCCGGAAATGCTTTTAACGGAAAAGTTTTCCATTAAAAGCATTTTCGGAACAGAGCATCTAGATTGGCACAGACGCTTTTCCGCAAAAGCACTTTTTGCAGAAAAGCATCCGTGCCAATCTAGACGCGGTTTTCCGCAAAAAAGCTCCAATTGCCATTTTTGTGATTGGGGCTTTTTTGCAGAAAACAAATCTGGGCTGTCTACACGGGCCCTTTTGTTTGCGCAAAAGGACTTTTGCCCGAATGGGAGCAGCATAGTATTTCCGCAAGAACACTGACAATCTTACATGAGATCGTCAGTGCTTTTGTGGAAATTCAAGCGGCAGTGTAGACAGTTGGCAAGTTTTTCCGGAAAAATGGCTGATTTTCCAGAAAAACTGGCCAGTCTAGACACAGCCATAGAGTAACACTGAGGAGAATTTTGCAGCATCAGGGAGTGAGTCTGTCCCCAGTAATAACTACATGTTCTGCTGTTACTGAGCTTGTGTCGATATTCCAGGATGCTGTCCACATGTTCTATCCCACCAGGAAGGAGATCACAAGCTCACAGAGTAATATGTAAGGAAATGAGAATGCTCACATACAATATAGATGATGGCTAGCTAGCTAGCTATCTAGCTAGATAGACAAGAATATCTTTTCTAGCGGCGAAAGTAAGGGTTTGGTTTCTCCTATGTTCTCTTCTCAGTCCTTCTTCCGCTCTACTCTGGCTGATTAGACCTCAGTTGGCTTATTGTGTCCAGTTCTGGGCACCATGTTTCAAGAAAGATATGGAGAAATTGGAGAAGGTCCAGAGAAGAGCAACAAGAATGATTAAAGATCTAGAGAACATGACCTATGAAGGAAGACTAATAGAACTGGGCTTGTTTAGCTTGGAAAAGAGAAGATTGAGAGGGGACATGATAGCGGTTTTCAAGTATCTAAAAAGGTGTCACAAGGAGGAGGGAGAAAAATTGTTCTTCCTGGCCTCTGAAGATAGAACAAGAAGCAATGGGCTTAAACTGCAGCAGGGGAAGTTTAGGTTGGATATTAGGAAAAAGTTCCTAACTATCATGGTGGTTAAACACTGGAATAAATTGGTTGTGGAATTTCCATCTCTGGAGATATTTAAGAGTAGGTTAGATAAATGTCTATCAGGGATAGTCTAGAGCAGGCATGTCTAAAGTCCGGCCCGCGGGCCAATTGCGGCCCGTGTTCTGATTTAATATGGCCCCCGCTTCCTCCCCCTCTCCTGGCTCCCCGGCGCTCTTTTGAACTGGCACGCCCAGCGCGCCGCTTCCGGCCGCGCCACCGCGCAGTCCTAGAGCCTGCCCTGTAGGGCACGTCCGCAGCCCCGCTCCCCCGCTCGGCTGCGGGTTCGCCCTGCCCCTGGGCCGCTGTGAGGCCGGCGTGCCCTGCGCTCTCCGCCCACCTCCGACCCTGCGGGCCCTCCGCCTTGGGGCTGAGAGTGCGGGGACGGCCCTCACGCATGTTCACTTCTTCAAATCTGGCCCTCTTTGAAAAAAGTTTGGACACCCCTGGTCTAGACAGTACTGGGTCCTGCCAGGAGAGCAGGGAACTGGACTCAATGACCTCTAGAGGTCCCTTCCAGTCCAAGCATTCTATGATTCTATGATTCCCTGAGACTCTTGTTTGAAACCTGACATGATACCTTCTTCCTGAGGATCCCAGAATACATTACAAAGAAGAAGTTGACTGTTCCCACGAAAGCTCATGATTCCATCTACATGTTTTGTTAGTCTTTAAAGTGCTACCAGACTATTTGTTGTTTTTTAAATTTATCCTGTACAGACTAACTCTGCTATCCCTCTGAAGCTATTAATTATAACATTCCTTGGATATAAAAATAAGTAGTCCTGTAGCACCTTAGGGTATGTCTACACTGCCACCGTAGTTCGAACTAGAGTGGCTAATGTAATCATTCGAACTTGCAAATGAAGCTTGGGATTAAAATATCCCGGGCTTTATTTGTATGTTCCCAGGCACTGCCATTTTTAAATGCCCTGTAGTTTGAACTCCCTGCCCACGGCTACATGCGACACGAGCTAGGTAGTTCGAACTAAAGCCCCTAATTTGGACTACCGTTACTCCTCCTGCAATGAACTAGGGTGGCTAGTGTAGACATACCCTTAGAGACTAACACATATATATATAGTATCATGAGCTTTCGTGAGCAAAACTACTTGACTTGTAACTACCAATTGCTACTGCACTTATTTTATAGATGAGTAAATTCTGGAACTGAGATTAAATGACTTATCCAAGTCTGACATAAGTAGGAGTTCAGAACTTCCAAAGAGTTGTGGTGCACCCTAAATTCCCATTGAACGTCAATAAGCACTGGAAGCATTCAGCTGCCATCAGGTTAGTCTTTGCACCTGGATGATCAAGCCACAGTGAGGCAGTGACAGAGTGGAGAATAGAACAAAGAAGACTCTGACTAGAACATAGCGGGAAGCAGCCCCCTGTTCTAACCACTAAAACCTTGCTCCCCTCTTTAAATTTGTATTGTATGCAAACATGGTACTGCTAAAACCAAATACATAAAAAACAAGGAGAGGAAGAGATCAGCAATGCAATGAACGCTCCAGTGAATTCACAAACTTCAAGTGCAAGTAAAATGCTGTATTTGTATGAACTACTAGCCTAATACAGGTAACCTACTGTGCTCAGGGAAAAGAAGATCCAGTGTAATATCTTCAAGTGCTATTTGTAAAGACAACAGCTTCCTATTACAGGACAAAATTACAATAGTTTATCTTATTTAATTGGTATCTGGCGACATAATATGTTAAAAAATTAATACACATATAATTTTGTCCAGCATCTTTGGAGAAATCTCACTATAAAGAACATATTGTAAAAAATGAAAGGAAAATATATGTTGTTCTAGGAAATATATTACATAGCAAA